TTATCAATATTTTTCCTGTCAATACGATAATTTATCCACTTGTTATATTATTCTTGCATTCTAGGAATGAAACAAATTTGATCATTAAGGACGCAGTGTAGTTTAATGAAAAGGATCAATGGTTTAGGTGTCTTGTCACTACCATTCACTAGCTGTGTATTTTTGGAAAAGTCACGTAACTTCTGAGGATTTTCTTATCCATAAATTGAGGCAATAGAGAGGATGAAAGTTCTTTTCCACTCAAGTTTTAAAGTGTTAAGCACCATTTATGACAATGTTTCTATGGGAAAATACACTGAGTTCCAGCTTTGAATACTAGAAATAGATCTCCCTTCACTGTTAACATGGCAGGTGCAATTATTCCTTATTTTTTCATTCTTCCACTGCCAAATATTAGGACTCTAAGAAAGATTCAAGAATATGAGTCTGGGAGTTTGCATGGAGGAATGGGAATGGTTTGGGAGAGAGAAAATATTGAGGGAATGGAGGAAAGAGGAGATTAGGATAGATACTAAGGTTTAGGATGGGGTAGAGAAAGAGCTACTGGAACTAGGTTTATTTCCCTTCCTTATTTGTATTCCCTGGTTTCTTCCCCCTAACTCCATCCATCTTTTCTCCTTTCCTTTCACCATGATGGCGTGCTTTCTGTTCTCTCCTCCTTTTCCTACACAGCAGTGGAACCATCCTAAGGACTGGGTCTGGGGAGAAATCTGACTTTAGAAAGAAAACTGGGTGGGATGGGGATTACTGTGGAGGCAGAATAAGCGTTTAGCTTTTCTGTGGTGAAAAAGAAAAAGCAGGATTGGCGATTTCCCAGTGGCAGGAGGAAAAGAGTAGTTTTTGTATATTCAAGGCTGAGATTAAGTAAAGGAATAAGACTCTTTATTGTTAAGTGATGAGTCTTTGGTATTCTGTATTGTTGTTTAATGTATATGTGGCGTTGTTTTTTAGGACAAAATTTGCATAAACACTAAATCTATAAATGCACATAGCATCCCTTTTAGAAGTGTAAGTTAATCACAAAAGAGAATTTTTGAACACTGGTTTGTATGATATTTAGAATGCATACTTTTTTTTAGATATTTATCTTTTGTCTTCAGTTTGGTGAAGGAAATATGTAATCTATATGTGTTAAGATTTTACTAAAATAACTTGCATTTCCTATAATGGAATCATGTATCTCAGCATTAGAAGGGAAGATACGGAAAGCTCAAATGAAACCACCCCAGCTGCCTATTGTAAGAACTATTACTTACTTTGAAATAATCTGTTGCTATTTTTGCAAAAAGATGTACCCCAAACTCCCAGATTGGATTGGGAACAGAAAGCACATACTGTTGCTCCTGAGTGTATGCAGAAGTACTACAATTCAGATTCAGAAAATCGTGCTCTTGTCATGGAATGTGGGAGGCTTAGCTTTTCCTGTGTTGGGAGTGGGTAGTTTTCCACTGAGGTAGTTTATAAAGTTACCTACATTTCTCTATATACTACAGATTTTGCAGAAATTGGTGTCCTTGAAGAACCACATGAGTTTGTACCTCATTTGTGTCATTACCTTTCACTTAACATACTTCCATGGGTGACACATTTCCTTAGGGGTATAAATATAAATGTGCAATTGTTGTTAGCACAGTCTTTTATCAGTCTTATGTGTTTTCACGTGTTTTATTCTGTCCCAATTATGTCTATTTTCATCAAATATTATAGTCATTCTGTCCATAATTTCTTCTGAACACATACCTTTTAAGAAATCTTTACTTTAGAGCTCTACCCAGTGACATCCCTCTTTTATTCACCAGATTCTACAGTACTACATTTTTCAAAATTTCAAATATGAGGGCCTTCATTTTTCTCCCTTTCTTTCTACATTCATTCTTCAATACCACTGCCAAGTTAAATCTCTATCTTTTTATTTGTCTCAACCACCTTTTCTCCATCATTCACTTCCTTTTTTCTGGACTCTCCATCTGAAGAACGGCTCATATATGGCAATAAAAAAGGTACAGACCAGACAGAGTAACACTGTTTTGAAATATGACTTCATAAGTTATCCTCATGTCCATGTAAGTTAGCACATTCATTGAGTAATGTATGCAGAGTCCTCTTGGGCCTTGTGCAAATTTAGTTTAAGTTTTATCGGAGTTGGTATTCAGTGTTTTTAGAAGTCATATTCCAAGATATCTGTCTTTCTGTGCATGGAAATATTTTTCCCTCTTTTTCATTCCTCTTGTTTTAAAATTTCATTCTTTTGCTTATTTGTAACGTTTTGTACTTTTCCCTGCATGATTAGGGGTGTTTGATTGTCCGTCTTATTTCCCAAAGAAATTTTACTGTGGACATTTACTTTAATATGATGCATGATGTGTTTGTAGACTGATTTAAAATTCTGATTTGTACAGTGTTTTTATATTTCTGTGTATTTTTTCATTTGAAATCAGTATAGTTTACATATCATTTGGTTTTACAGATATATAAATTAAGACTGAAAATATGAATGTATCTCGTTATAGCCATCCTCCCCAGACCCCTACTGCTTGCCCCCAGTCTACCTATTTTTAAAATTCTGTCAACTTTAAAACAAAATATCTATATTAATTCATTAGAAGAGAATCAAACTTACCATGTGTCCTTGGACAAATCACTTAATAAACTCAGTTTCTTTGTCTATAAAATGAGGAGATTGAACTTTGCAATATCCCTAATATCTCTTCAAATTCTAATATTCTGTGAGTCTTAGATTTTTAGTAATTTTTTTTAGCATCCTAAAAATACCTATTTAGTGCCATGGTACCCACACAGTTTTGGATTTGTAAAAGCTGTAGCTACAATGCTCATATTACCCTTTAGAAGATCATAAACATGGTCATGGAGCCTATTTTCCCTAAAATGTGTCTTTTATTTTTGTCTTTGAAATTGGATTTCTTTTTCTCTTTCCTTGCAGTCAGGTCCAGTCATCATCTTAGTTTTTAATTATACGTATTTGTGGGCTGCTTGAATTTTAAATGAGATGTTCTAGCCCAGAAGACTTACGGTGACTCAGACCTCTGTATACCTAAGGCCCCTTTTGATCTAGTGTCTTTAGCCTTTCTTTAACCTTCTCCTCAACCATAGTACTTCCATATGTGTGTTTTCATGATGTTGAAGCACAGCACTAAGGAACCACACCCTCGGGTCTAGAGTGATTCTAGTTGCTATATATGAGATAACAGGACTGAGGTTGTTGTTGTTCTTTCTGGGGGCCAAGGGAAGGAAGGTATAACCTTTGAGTCTTTCTTCAGCCGAGGATCCAGTTATTTTAGTGTATTCTATTCTGTAGCAGTGATAGCACAGCTAGAGATGAAGCAGTAGTGATCTGTTAGCCATGTTTTTCTTACTGCTTATGTCATACTCACATAAGGATGTAAGAGCTCGGATATACTTGCATGACCGTAGAGGACACCTGGTACATTACGTTGAGATATGCATTGTTGTCGAAATGCTGGTATGGTCCTTAGTTCAGGATTACCTGCATAGTAGTCCCTACATGCCATTATTTTTAGACCAATTTAGAGCAAGGAAGCTTATTCTGTTATAGTATGATGGGGTATTTTCAGCCTGCATGTTGAAGACTATTATGATGGTTAAACAGAAGACTACAGGGCTATTACAAATTCTTGTCTGTTAGTCTGCATGTCATAAGCTCTCATGAAAATTAAACAGAGACTATAGGATTATTATCAGTTTTTTGTCCTCTAGTTTGTAATACAAGTTGAGCTCAGATTTTTTTCCCATTGCTCTTTCGCTGAGTAGTCAGTAGTGTGAGATCATAAAGTTTGTGGATTACTTTTTATTTGTATCTTTATCAGACCCCAGTACTAGACCAGTGCTGAGCTAAACATTGAGGAAGCAAGAAATTTTTTGGCATGAGTTCATTTAGTCTCTTCCATGTGAGCTGGTGGTAAGGGACTTGGGATTGGTTCAGATAAGCGTGGAACAGACTAATAGAATAATGCAAGCATGAGTGCCCTAAACTTGAGCCTTTCTTTCTATTTATTCCATTGAAAGTAGGTTCAGCTGCAGCCCGGAAAGAAATCATAAGAAACAAAATTCGAGCAATTGGCAAGATGGCAAGAGTCTTCTCTGTTCTCAGGTAATGATATATTTTTCTTTTTCTTTTCTTTTCTTTTTTTTGAAGAATCACATTCACATAACTTTTATTACAATATATTGTTTATAACTGTTCTATTACTAGTTATTGTTGTTAATCTCTTACTGTGCCTAATTTGTAAATTAAACTTTATCACAGGTATGTATATATAGGAAAAAACAGTATATATAGGGTTCAGTATTATCAGAAGTTTCAGGCATCCACCAGGGGTCTTTGAAGGTATCCCCCTCAGATAAGGGGGGACTTACAATGGGAAACCACATTGTAGTGACAGTGGATGAACTACAGCTATACATATCAATACACATGAACCACAAGGATGTAATGTTTAGCCAAAAAAGAACTCTTAGAAGAATATGTATTAGCTACCTAGTGCTGCCTAACACATCACCCCAAACAACAGGCATTTATTATTTCACTGTTTCTGTAGGTCAGGAATCTGGGTATGGCCCTCATCTTCAGAGTCTCCACAGGGCTGCCATCGAGGTCTTGGCCCAGGCTGGGGTTTCATCTTGAGGCTCAATGGGCAGAGAGCCTCCAAGCTCACCCGGTTGCCGGCAGAGTCCAGTTCCCTCTGTGCTGGCTAGTGCTAAGGTTTTTCCTCCTGGAAAAGCCTATTCCTCCTGGCTGGAGAATGACTCTAGGAGCTCCCTCCAAATCTGTACTTCAGTTTCAAACACAGGCCATGAATGCTGCAGAACCTGGTCTCTTCATTTGGCCAGGCTCCCCTCCAGGACCTTGAAGCACCCTATTTTGGGGGGTCTGTCCCTCTCGAGGCTGTTTAATCAGCCATCTTTGGAGGAGAGACAATCACATTCTGTTTTCCATCTGCCAACCCCTAAGCCACTAACAGGATTAGTGGGGGATTAATGAGGGTCTGGGCCACCTGCCAGTCACTCCAAAGCGTGTTGCTCTGGGCTCTGAATTTCAGAACAGTTTAATAATACACCGTTGTCCCTGCCGCTATGCTCCCTATCTCAAGTTCACTTGGCAAAAAGATGGTCTGTGTCTGGGTTTAGAAGCGCCTCACAGGCCAGGAGAGCGGCTCATCTCTAAGTGTTTGGCTTGTGCAGTGTCCCCATGTGTGCCAGTGGCTTCACTAGTTGTCTTGTGGGTCAGGCAGAGCATGCCTATTTTCTTGATTATTTGTTTTGCAGAAATTACTTTTTTTGTACAAGTATTGTCCTGCTTGACGTCTAAAAGCAACATTATCACTCTTCCCGTAAAGAGTCAATTATACATTTATATATTGAAGAAGGGAACACAACTCCCTTTGAAACTAGGGTTTTTGACCCTTGTGATTATTGTTGCTCACCTATGGTATCTCTTGTCCTTATGTGATGAAAGCACTAAGTTTACACCTTGAAAATAAGAGCAAGATAAGAAGGAGGAGGCACCTTGTACAGAGTATTCCTGATGAACTTGCTCATCCATACAGGAAGTCCCTTTTGCTGTGGATTCAGCAATCCACAAATTGCCTTCCTGGGATTAATTCACCATGACCAGGTTTAAGCGTACAAATGAATAGCTCAGTCGTTGAAAATTTGTTTGCAAAACTGATTATATCACATATTTGAACTTTAGAGTATATGAAATACCATATTTTCTCAATTGTATGATGCCCATCAATGATAAATCTCACCATGTATTTAGTAAAGCTTTTTAGGAAAAATGACATATGCTTCCATTGTAAGGCCCATCCTCATATTCCACGTTTAGAATATGAAAAATGTATGTCTTGAAATTGAGAAAAATATGGTAATAACAATGAATGTCATAAATTGTATATATGGTCATAGGTCCTCTTTTAAACTGAGTGCTGTTTGGAAGTATTTGTTATTTGTTTTATCTCTCTGCTATAGGGAGGAGAGTGAAAGCGTGCTGACACTCAAGGGCCTGACTCCCACAGGGATGTTGCCTAGTGGAGTGTTGGCTGGAGGACGGCAGACCCTGCAAAGTGGTAATGATGTTATGCAACTTGCTGTGCCTCAGATGGACTGGGGCACACCTCACTCTTTTGCTAACAGTACACATAATGCATGCAGGGAATTCCTTCTGTTTTTTAGTTCCTGTCTCAGTAGCTGACACAGGCAGGGTGCTATATGATAGGTAGTCTCATTAATACCTGATCGGGGCAGAAAATTCATAGAATGGTTATTCCTTTCAGTTGAAAATAATGGTCAGTTCCTCACCTTTTCATGAAATGATATGGGAGCAGCTCATATCATAATCTCTGAAATATTTATTTATTCATTTGTTTGATTCACCCTTTTCTTTTAAAAGTCCCAGTTTCAGAATGTGAATCAGGGATATTCATATTACTAAAATGGAACTGTAATTCCAAGTTTCTTATTTTTAATTTTTTAATTTATGTAACTGTATTAGACTATGCTTATATTTTCAAATACTTAATTTTAGAGTTAACTGTCTGCTTGGGCCCCAGAACATTACTTATGCACTTCACTTGCCAAAAGATTTGTGCAAGGTTTTGTACCCTGGTAAATGATGCCAAAGTTTGTTTTCTGTGGTGTTTGTCAAATGTTCTATGTATAATCGACTGTCTGTAACATGCTGTTTCCTTCCTCTGCAGATGTAGCTGCTTTCCTAAATCTGTCTGTCTTTCTTTAGGTTAGCTGTATGTCTGTAAAAGTATGTTCAATTAAATTACTCTATCAGACACTTGTCTGTCTTTTGATGTAGAAGCAGCTTTGTAGCACCTCATTTTGGGGTTTGCTGCATTTGTTGCTGCACTTTGTGCATTCTGAACATGAATGTAACATTAGATATTAAGTCATTGTTACAAGGGGTTGAATTTAAAATCTGTAAGTCAAAATTCAAAGGGTGTTATTAAGTGTGCCTTTATTTTGCATGAAAATAAAAAGAATTATACGTAAAGCATTCCTGTAATCTGGCTCATTGAATATTTTATATTAAAAAAACTAACTTTTTTTGGCATAAATATTTGTGTAAATACTGGGTTAAGTTTTTGAAAGCCCATTACAGATTAAATAGAAGAGAGTGATATGAATTAAACCACACACAGTAATTCGGTCTAGATTTCTTTCCCTTGTGGTTGGAGAGCAAAAAATGTGATATGGAAAAGCCTGAATTTATATGTTTTATTGTAGCCACTTTTGACTGCCCTCCAAGGGTCGTTGTTCTATTAAAACAGGCAGCAGCAGATCTGATGTTTTTCCTTAATCATGATTAAATTTCTTTTTGATGTTGTAATTAATGACATTTTAAAAGAAAAATAGTAAATTTTAATTTAATATTTTGAATAAATTTAAATTAGGTTGACTTTTCACAATTTCATTTCACTCAGTCCCATGATAATTGTTTTTTAATAAAAAGAACTTTTTCCTATAGACAAATAATTTTTACTTGTAGCCTGTACATGTTCTATTTTATATGTTATTGTATTGTCCACAACCGCCACTGGTATATCTGAGTACAAAACTATGTTTTGAAATTTTCATTCTGAACGAGGGTTTTTTTTATTTAAAAAAAATCTGCTTTGATTCTCTTTACATTCCTTGCCCTCCATTTTTCTTGTTATATTGTAAACATTAGAAAAATGAGCTAAAAAGAATTTCATGAATATACATTAAAACAAATTAAGATCTTAAACATTCAATAAAACTAGCAAAAATGTTAATAGAAATGGATGAATTTTAACAGCTTCTGAAATGTTATATCCTTCTTCCTCTTTGTTCAGAAAAGAAAAAATGAGAAGGGTATCATACTTAAATAAATCTACATTATAGCCACCTGTCAATTATCCTTGGATATATTATTACTTTTATGTTGTATCCATAGTAAATCTTGCTTTCAGCTTTCACAATTAGCACCTGCTAATTACATGCTTTGTGGACAGCTCACCACTTGTATTTATTCTTAATTTGCACACAGCTTGAAGCTCATTCCTCCAGCTTTGAAACCATCCTCAACTGTAGGGGAGGTTTGAAAGACAGTAGCTTTGCTAGAGGGACTGTCTGTTCCCAGGATAGAATGAGTTACTGGAAGGAGCTGAGTTTAAGGGGTCTTATTTGGGAAACTAGATAGCTCCCACTTCTGCTAGTTCTTGATAGTGTGATTTGAGCATTTGGTTGAAGTTATTTCCCTAGCATAAGATAAACCCATTTTGAAACAAATAACAAAACTCATATGAAAGCTGTATCTGTGATTTAAAAAAAAAATTATCTAACATTTTAAATTTCAGTAGATATGTTTTCTGATGTTAGTGTGTATAACTGAGAGATATTGCAAAAGGAAAAATTTTAAATTCTAAGGCCTTGATCTTATTGTCAGAAAATAAAAATTGTCTTTTCAATAACTTTAAAGTTAATTTTCATAATATTTCTTGAGTGTTTGTACAGACTGCACAACTCTATTAGAGTTAGATTTTATGTTCATATTTATTTTACGTACTTTTTTTAATGGAAATTTGATTGGGAGCTAGCCAAAATAATGTTACCTTTACCAGAATCTGTATGGCAAAATATATGACCATCTCTATTTTAATAATGTAAATTCCTCTTGGTCATTTATTTTGTGTAGTATTGAGGAACACAGTTTGAGGCAGCACTACCCTCAAACTTACTAAGACCATGTCAAGATGCACTATATAGCTGAAAACAGAGGAGAAATAGTGCCTTTCAGATAGATTTTTGCAATTATCAGAACTCTTTCTTTCCAGCTTAATTTTTAAGCTTCAAGTGAACATCTTTCAAATCTAAGCATTCAAGCTTGACATGGTATGCATTTTGAGTGTGATACCCATTTTTTATTCCGGAAAGGATTTAGGATCAGTTAGAGGCCTCAGAAAAGAACGGAAAATATAATTGACCTAGAAAATGCTTTTACATATAAAATTCAAAGTGTGTAGAATGATTTCAAAAGTGTATTGTTACATTTCATAATTTGAAAAATTTATCAACAGACTTTTAAACTATTGATAAAATCAAATAGATACTAATTCTGATATCAGTTTTTATTCTTTATTACTATATATAATACAAGTTATGAGATGTTTCATGTAAACTGACTAATGTTATCACAGACTCTCTAAGACATTCTGATAGACATTTAATTTTTTCCCCTTTCAATTTTTGAATTATAAGGAGGAAAATTGTCCACATTTTGAGGAGTAGGAGTTCCAGGGGTGATCAAGTAGAGGTGGTTTATTTATCCCAGTTTTTTGTCCAGGCAAATTGTAAGAGTATTTTTCAGGTGTACAGGGCTAGATTTTTTTTAAGTAGTAATTTGTGCAGTGAGCATACAATAATTGTGTCTGCTTTGATTTGTAATATAATTTAACAGTTAAGGAAAATTAACTCTTTATTCAGTGTTCATCCTACTTCTTTTGGGTCCCCAGTTCACTTTATTCTCTGGTTAATATCAACAACATTTTCTAATTTAGCCCACTTCAAATCATTGGATTCGTCAGTGTCCTTTCACATTAATAATTGCTTTGGGTAAAAATTATTTCTAAATCATGTTTACTGCTAAAAGATAATTTCAGGAATAATTATTCTAATTGGCCTTATTCAGAAGAAGCAAAGTGGAAGGAACAGGACATTATTGTTACAAATATTCTGAGTGTGTACACTTCGGGTAAAGTGGAAAATGGGCAATATTGTGAGGCAGTATTGTTCTTTCCTATCTTATCTTAGGTGCTGGTTCTCAATGTGAGCTCTTTATATGATTTAAACCCAGAAATAAGCCAAAAAAGAATCTTTGACCACAAAATGTATGATTAAATATGTTGTAGTTCTCTAAATGGGCCAATGACAAGCTATACCAAGAATGCATTTCTCATTTATAATATGGCCTATATATATGTCTATAGCATGAAATAATTAGAATTTATTGCCTGTAAGACCTCAGTTTCATTCCTTAATCCCTCTTTATTTGGTAGATGGGTTTGAAAAGATACTCAGTAGTCTTTCTTTCTTCCCTTAAGAATTCAGGCTCTTAATTCCTGAAGCAAATTTGAGTTCATGATAAACTGGATATGAATGGATTTTTTTGAGGCTATAGATGTTAATATCTTTAGGTATTTGGAGCATCAATGTTAGAAGAGAAAGGAAGTTCCTGGTAGACAAGAGGGATCCTTTAGGTTCCCCACAAAGAACAGAGCTACAGGACTGTTCTGCTTAGACTAATTGACCAAATTTACTGCCCTAAAATTTCACTGTAGCCATATCAGATTTTGCAGCTTATGTTTTGCCTTATAAATTAGAAGTGACAGGAAAAGCAATGCTGACCCCTTTTAATTTCTATTGTAGGGAACCAACTGGTGATGAGTATTGTTTTTGTTAGACATGAAAGAAAAGACTTTCCTGTTTGCTTTTCTGCTACAATTCTATCATCATAATTTTACCCTAGAGAATTTTCCTGTGATTGTGATGGATGTGATATAATAAACATACAGGAAAATTCTAAGGCCATCAAAATACTGAATTCAAGATGGGTAATTAATATTGGATTGCATTTGCATGAGTGCTGAGATGTCTTTGTTTAAAATAGGTTTGTGTGATCTGTGCTCTGAGCAATGTTGTCATAGTGCTGTGTGTAAACTGTACTGTGTCAGGAATTGGGGGATTGGATGGGACTCTCTAATATGAGTACTACTTATGTTGAATTGTAAATGATGATGTAGTATGGGGTACTGTGATATTTTAAGTGATCATTGCCTTTTCTGCTGTACAATGTGACCCTTCTCATCTCTCTCATTCATTTTGCATGCCTCTGCTCACTTCTGTACAGCCACAGTTGAGGCTATTGAGGCTGAAAAAGGTACGATCAGAGTCCTTGCGCTGGGCAGAGATCTGTGGTGTGTGGGTGGGCTTCAGAGAATGTCCTGTGGGTGTGTCTTACTCCTAGCGTGCACAGCCCAAGATGAATCAGACTCACTGACTCATCAAGTTTAACAGTCACATTCCTCATTTATTTATTTTTTAATCACAAAGGCTGATGTCCATAATGACAGTCTGGTTTTTTTTTCCCTTTTCTGGTGCAATATGCAACCAGAATTTAATGTTACTGATTTCTTTAAGTATATTATGCTATATATTATAGCATTTAAAGTTGCCTGTTTTAATGGAAATTACAAAACTGATCTGAAAATAAAGATCTGTTCCATATTTTGCATGATTCTATGCTACTCAGATTTTTCCCCCCAAGTGAAACCCCCTCTAGATATAGGTATGAGTTTGTTTTTTACTCATTTTCAGTAAAGTACCTGACTGAGAGTGCAGGAACTGTCATTATAATGGTCTTTTTCTCTTTTTTTGCTGCAGTTTGGGGTATAGTTTACTGATAAGATTATATTCATGTATATTATATGTTGGCTTGATATGACACATTGCTGAATGTTTTGCTGCCCCAGCCATTGTTCGGTTCATGTGCACAGACTGAGTCCTAGCTATTGCACACATTAGGCAACAACCAGATCATAACTAGTGGTATGGCAGTCTTTTCTATGAACATTTTAACAGTGGAGGATGCATGATTCTAAATGAAGTGAAAGAGAAACTATACAATTGGTGGAGAATTGCCATTTATTTTGATTAGAGTTTCCAAAGAAGTACAGTAAATGACCAGTGAATTAAGGAAGACATTTCCTAAAATATGAAACTATATGCTTTTTGCTATCAGCCAAACACAGAAACACAGGCATTTCCTACCTTTTTCATTTCATATGAAATGTGGTGATGGGGTGATGATACCTTGACCGCCAAGATAGTTTCGATCTACTGTATTTTAGCTTATCTTTGCTTCTTTCTCCTCCCAAGCTCTTGGTACAGATGATCTGTATGTTGGGGATTAACCTTGTTTAGCCTCCTTACTTGCCCCTACTCTTGTTGCTACCTTATTGTGATAGTTACTGGTGATCTTAGGGTCTGAAGTAGGAGATAATTGGTGTAGTAGAAGTCAGACTGAGACCCTGAGAGGCTGATTTTGGGGGTAGGGGAGGGTTGTTTTTGCTTTTTTTTGTTTTGTTTTTTTTGAAGGCTACGCTAACACTGTCATCTATGAAACTATCGTGTTTGTATTTAGGTTTAAACATTTCACATTTTAAAGGGAAAACTTGAAATGGGGATAGGATTCAGTTAAAATTTAAGTGTTGCTACTTGCAGCTAATTTCTTTCTTCTTAAAAATCATTAATTATGTTTTTGAAATCTCAGAAATGTTTTTCAATTACTGACTTATCAAATTTGCATTTTGTTAAGCAATACGAGGATTCTCTCCACCACATAGAATCTGCAGTTTTGAAGAGGCAAAGGGTTTGGATAGGATCAATGAGAGAATGCCACCCCGGAAAGATGCTGTACAGCAAGATGGTTTCAATTCTCTGAACACCGCACATGCCACTGAGAACCACGGGACTGGCAACCATAGTGCCCAGTGACCCACGGCTTCCCAGGGACTCTCACATCTCGGGCCCCCAAATGGACAGATCACCCGAGGAGCTGGAGGGGTTGGCCAAACTGACTGTAAATGTCACACAGTCCCTCTGCAGAAACCATCGTGCTTTTGAAATCCCAACCCCTTCCTGGATGGTGGCTTGAGGGCCCTGGGACATGTTGTGCTATCTGATAAGATTGGGTCATCGCTGCCAATGTGGAGAGCAGTGAGCAAGGGGCTTGGGGCAATTTCCAGTGGAGGGCATCTACACCTCCATTTATGCTTGTGGTTCACACATTTAAGTTTACAAATGAGATTTCTTTTCCCCCCTCAGTAGAATTAGAATTTGTTTTTCAACCATGACTTCAAATGCAATTCTAAGAGCTAATGTGGACTTTTCTTTTTCCATGAAATATCTTTAATGGATGAATTAGCATGGTCTTAAAATACCTTTCTGAGGTTACTAGCTATATTTTGAATTGTGGGCAAAATGCTGAGAAACCCAGCATTACAAAATGCTGACCTCAGGTCAACAGTTCTTAAATGTGGCTAATTCTGTAACATAGTCTTTGTATTTTTCAATTATGAATGCATAACTTATAACTAGGCAGACTCACTTACTTGAACACAAATCCAAAAACTAATTTAGAATCTTTTTTGCCCAGATCTTTTGAGATTTATATCCCAGAGATTTAAAAAGAAAACCTCTAAATTGCAAAATTATGAAGAATTACAGAATTACTCATTTAAGATACTTTAAAAGAAGTTTGTACATTGTCAAAGTAAATTTTAATTCAAATCATGTCTGTAAAACTTGACGTATTTTGTGTATGCATGTTTTCATTTTGCAAATATTTAATATATAGACCTATGATGTACAGGTACGACATGTATAGGTTACCTAGATGTTATGAGAAATTTTAGTTTATTGTGAGTACTCAAGTTGCATAAATAGCCACCAGGATGATTTGCTGCTGGCTTTCTATCATTTTTATGTTTTAATGCAAAGGAAATTTTAAAACGTTCTGGAAGTGTTTTTGATTAAGCAATGCAGCCTAGAAACAATGGTTCTGTTCAATCATTCAGATGTTAGTGGAAGCATAAAAGTCAAGACTGCATGTTGAAATTTTTCTTTTGATAGTTACTGATCTGCTTGGTTAAACTAAATGGAACCATGTGCTAATTTTTCACAATTATCGACCTGTATTGATTGCCACTGTAGTTTGGTATTTCCCTTTACTTTGGTGGCCTGCTTCCCTCATGCCCTGGAATACAACTCAGAGCTCCAGGCAGCGGAACCATCTGTTGTTTTGTTTGCCAGAAAGTGCACCCTGTATGGTCTCCTGTCTAAGTTGGAAATATTATGCATGTGCAGGACTTTTCGAGTATTTTATAAACAGTAGCACACAATAAATTCCATGCATGGGCCGCTGCTCCTATCTCTGTGTTGGGTTTTATTTGGAAGATGCAGTCTGATTTGGCCTTTTGATGCAAATCAGAAAATCCTGTTAATAGAGCTGGAATATCCTTTGGAGAAGGTTATCTCGTGGATAGTTCATGGTGATTTGAAAAATTAAATTCTTGTCTTTATAAAATCTGCCTTAAAAAAAAAAACTTTTGTTATACTTGTTTTACATGTGCATTAGTAATTGAGCACTAGAGGACTTTGGATGCCTACTGTAGGCCTCCTAAATCTAATATTTAAGATCACTGTTTTTTTTATCTTTTAATTGAAAAAAAAAGTCATTGATTAGTAGTTTGTTACAGTAGTATTGGGAATTTATTGGTGTTTTAACAATAAGAAGAAAAAATATTAGTGATACTACATTTTCCTACCATTATATTCCTCTCTTCTTTGCCATAATCAAAATAAATATAGGATTTTGCAAATTGAGGGAAATTAGGAAATTGTTCAAAATTTTATAATAAAATAATTACATAACTTTAATTATAGTTCTTAACAATAATTACAATAAGATACATTATAAAGCATTAATTTAAATCAATGTATGTATACTTGCCTAATTCTAAGTAAGTAACAGAACTTCTCGAATTGTTATTACAGCTTCTGCTTGCTGTAATATTAATTTGCATAACAGTCCATGACTTGCCTCTAAAGTTATGATGCATTGCATACCTTAAAGATTCTTTCTGATGTTATTGTTTTATGAAAACTGTTCATTTCTAAAATAAGAGTTTAGTATATCAGGTGCCAGGAACTTCCTTAGCCCTTAGGTTCATTATTAGGGTTATATAGTGTTTGCGGGAATCATGGGTGAGCATAAAGCACTATTGGCAAACTAGAGGAAGTATGGGTTGATGGTAAAAATTAAGAAGAGGAAAATATGAGAAAGGAACGGAACTTTAAAAAAGTGTTACGCATGAAGAATGTATACCACTTTATCACCTAGTGCCTCACAGACCACTTCCTACTTGTTGAATAGGAACCTCTTTCTAGTCTTTCTTTATAATTAGTTTCACAACAAACGATTTATTAAGATTTTTAAAATACAGCTCATGAATGCAAATTGTGCATTCATTTTTCTAAATTGTAACTTTAAATATCTATCAGAGCAGGTAATAGTGATGGTAAAATGTAAGTTAATATTCAGCATCAAATTTTTTCTATGTATAGCATTCCTCTTTATATTCAAAGATGATATTTCTGAATTAGAAAAGTCAGTCTCTGACTTCTTGTACCTTCTTCAGTTCAGCCATGATTAACAGAACTCAAAACCTTTGAGGTTCTCAGTTAAATTTGTGAGGCCAGTTAAATTTGAAGTTGTCCTGAAACTTTTGCTCAAAATTATTAATCATACCTATTTTATTCAGGATTTTTGCTTATTGCAACTAGTTTTTCTCTGTCCACAGCCATTCTGCATAATGTTATGTAATGTTTTGTTGAATCCTTAACACTTTTCTTCCACCTTCCCTACTTGTAGTTTGTGCTTTCTACAGTTTGAGGTTCTTGTATGGATTTGATTTACTACATTCCAGGACCTCATTGCGAGTGGTTCTGTTCCCCAGTTGGATGGTGTTCACAGAAGCAGGTAAGTGGGGCCAGATGTAAGCAGAAAACCAGATCTTGCAGTCATGTAAGACCATTGTCCTGTCAACTTTGGATAGGAGCTGGGAATGTGGAACTGAATTCCCTGGATCAGCATCCATTACAAGAAGGAATGAGAGGATGGTTGAGTTGATTCTTTTCTCTTTTTTTTTTCTAAAAATAGTATGCATTTTTAGTCATTAACTAAAATTTTGGTCTTGCTTATTTTAATATTCCAGAAGCATTTATTCCTCTTTTGAAATAAACAGGTAGAGTGCCCTGATGACACTCTCACTGAGAGAGTACTTTACTGTCCTTTCAGGGAAAGTGAATTTTACAAGTTAATTCTGCATGTTTCCCCTACATTTGATTTTCTTCTGTACCATTAAATGGCCATTTATTTTCTCCTTTCTTGGATATTATATTTGTACTTAAGCCTAGATTGGACATTGTTGAGTTCTGTTTGAACAGTGTTTGTTATGCTAAAAGAGGACATTGGGCTTGGGTCAACTCATCCTGGGTCTAGATTTACATACAGGACTCCAGGGATTCCTGTTCTCTGGGCTGATGTCTACCCTTTCCAGCCAAATACTGACTTCTGCCTTAAATCCCCAGGGTTTTTTTCTAAAGCTGTAAACTGAGAACACAAATGTTGCTTTGAGTGAGAGAGGTCCAGGGAGCAGTACGTTTCAATTTTCCTCAGCCTGCCTGGCCTTTAGGAGTGTGGATAGAGTCCTTGAGCCTTCTTGGCGGAGAATGAGGATTAGAAAGAGAGAAGTCCCCAGGCAAGGGGCCAGATCCTTACTTGCCTCATGAAGGAGAATTCAGCCTTGTCTATCTGGTTGGCAGGGCACACTTAATCACTGAGATCCAGCATTTCAGCAGTTTGTAGAGGACAGTGATATGAAGGGACAGCTGCAAGTAACCCAGAACCTACATTTGAGGAGATCAAGCACTTACTTCACTTGGAGGAAAGAGAGAAGGAAGGAAGCTGAGGGCTTAGCAGGGTAAGTTTTTCCCTATCAACCTGTCTGCTTGCTTAGTTTATAATTGAGTAAAGTATTTATCACCCCAGGGAGTGTTAAATCACTGATTAAGCAGCTGAATATGGTCATAATTGCAGTGTTCTTAATGTATTTCACCTTTTCTCTTTCTCTTTTTCTGCCCCTTTTGAGGATCCCCAGTGACCAGTTTCACTGCCCCTTCTCCCTACCTCTCCCAAAGACGTTTTGTATTTGCTGGTGAATTAGAGAAAATTAGATGAGCCCTCCTGGTCTGGAGATAATGAGAAGATGACTGTGGTTTAGGTGAAGTTTGGGACTTTTTGTGGTAAGGAGGAAGATGGAAGACGTAGGTTTGGGAATAGGTTAATATTTTGGTTTGTAATTTGAGATGAAAGATAAGAATTTTTCTACATAATCAAGTTCATGTCTCCTCTCCTCTTCAGTTCTCAGTGTTGGTGTTCTCTCATATACTGGGAATAAATTAGAGCCTAAGTCACTGGGGACGGCTAGAAAAAAGTTAAAGTGATTCCTTTTCTAGGTTGGGTAGGCTCTAAACTCTGGAAAGTTCTGAGAGCTTACTGCAATTCTTTCCAACTTCTCCCTGTGTCTGCTGTTCCCCGCCCCCCCCCACCCGCCTTGGTTTCTCTCAGTTTACATCCCTTGAACTTGGAGGAGCCTGCAGCTCCTTGTCGGAAAGTTAGAACTAGGGAAGCTGTGTCTGAGCCTAGTGTACACAAACTCAGACATGAGCCTGATGGTGTAAATAGATGCAAATGCGAAGACCTGGCTTCTCATTCCCACCTTTTTACCTTCCTGCCAGAAAGCTAGTTCATTTGTGTGTTGAACCTTGTGTTCTAGAGGAGACTATGATATTAGGGATTTTACCACCACCACTCTCGCTCCCTGAACTGTGTGATCCTTTTGACTTCTGGCTAGTTCAGCTAATTTACCAGATTGCCAAGAGTTAATCTTTTGTTGGAGAAAGACCTCTCCTTGGAAATGTAGGTAAGTGAGGCAATACCTTTCTGACCTTAATTGGTTTGCATTGCGGCAAAAGGCTTACGGTTTAACTTCAGGGAGATATTATAAATTCTGGGATTTAAGACCCTAGTGTCTTAAATCAAAGTATCTTTCATTTGAGACATACCTGTAAAAGAAAAAAAATCCATTCTTTCAAGGTTAAAAAGGTGTTATATCTTGCCTGAGGCAGGTGGGTAGAGTAGATAAATGCGTTTTCTAGAATGGCAGTGATTCTGGAAATGCAATGATAATATGTGGTGATTAAAAGTAGAGGGAAGTCCCTGCATGGTGGCTCACGCCTGTAATCCTAGCACTCTGGGAGGCTCAGGTGGGAGGCTCACTTGAGGCCAGGAGTTCAAGACCAGCCTGACCACATCTCTACAAAAAATGGAAAAAATTAGCTGGGTATGGTGGCGCATACCTATAGTCCCAGCTACTCAGGAGGCTGAGGCAGGAGAATCAGTTGAGCCCAGGAGTTGGAGGTTGCTGTGAGCTATGATGATGCCACTGCACTCTAGCCGGGTGACAGAGAAGACTCCGTCTCAAACAAGCAAACAAACAAACAAAAAAGTGGAGGGCAGAGTGAAGTCAGTTGTTAGAAATGGGGTCATAAACTGTGAAGGGCAATTCCATTCACCTTTTAGTAAAGAGATGTGACCTTTAAACCATAACATAATCTAATGTCGTTAGGACCAATTTCTTCTTCATTATGGTAATATAGAGGAAATGGTATACAGATGAACTTAGCTACCTCTTTTCTGTGGACTCTGAAAGGATCCATTCACCTGTGGGATGAGGGGAGTTTTAAAAGAATGGATGGAAACATAAGGGTAAAGAGAAAGAAAGTACAAAGGAAAATACAAATTCTTTCCTCCATTAACCTGAGGACACGGGTTTGCAAGAGCAATGTTGTAAGATATAGATATGAGCTGGATGATTTGGGGTTTTTTTGTTTGTTTGTTTTTGTCACCTACCTACATCTCAGCTGCATGATGATTCTAGAGTTTTTTTCCCTAACAGATAGAAGGATCTAGAAGGATCAAATGTCAGACCATTTTTGTAACAAAACATGATCCCTAGTTTGAACCTCAATAGTTACCTCATTCACAGTAAAACTAACCACTGCCAGTGTTTTCATCATCTATCATTTCCCTATTCCTGGAGGCAGTTAATCCAGGGATTAATAACTTTTTAGCCTCTCAATCTCTACGGATACTCTTCCTTCCTTCCTTCCTTCCTTCCTTCCTTCCTTCCTTCCTTCCTTCCTTCCTTCCTTCCTTTTCTTCCCTTTCTTCCTTTTTTCTTTCTTTCCTTTCTTTCTTTTTCTTTCTTTTTCACATAGCATAAAATTAATTTAAAGTTAGCAATTAAATGGCATTTAGTATATTCACAATATTATGCAACCACAACCTCCAAAACATTTAGTTTAGTTCCAAAACATTTTCATTACCCCAAAGAAAACCCCATAACAGTTAAGCAATTACTCCTCATTTTCCCTTCCACCTAGCCCCTAGCAACTGCCAGATCTGCTTTCTGTCTTTGGATTTACCTATTCCGTATATTTCAAATAAATGGCATCATACAACATGTAACCTTTTATGTCTGGCTTCTTTCACTTAGCATAGTGTTTTTGGGGTTCATCTACATTGCAGCATGTATCAGTATTTTCTTTTTTTTTTTAAGAGATAGGATCTCACTCTGTTGCCCAGGCTAGAGTGCAGTGGTGTGATTGTAGCTTACTGTAACCTTAAACTCATGGGTTCAAGTGGGCCTCCTGCCTCAGCCTCCTGAATAGCTAGAACTCCAGGCACGAGCCACCAAACCCAGCTAGTTTTTAAAATTTTTTTTGTAGAAATAGGGTTTTGCTATGTTACAGGCTGATCTCAAGCTCCCTGTCTGAAGTAGCTTCCCACCTTGGGCTCCTAAAGTGCTGGTATTATAGGTGCGAGCTACCATGCCCAGCCTTATTTCTTAAAAAGAATAATATTTAATATTTAGAAGAATATTATTATTAATAATGTTTAATCCCAATTTATTTATCATCCATTGGTGGATCTTTGGGTTATTTCTACCTTTTGGCTATTGTAAATAGTGCTGCTATGAATGTTCATGTGTAAACATTTGGTTGAGTACCTATTTTTAGTTATTTGGTATATATATCTAAGAATGAAATTGCTGGTTTGAGGAATTGCCATACTGTGTTCTATAGTGCCTGTACCATTTTACATTCCCATAAGTGTGCTTGAGAATTCCAATTACTCCACATCCTTATCAGCACTTAATTGTTTTCTGGTTTTTTGATAATAGTCCTCCTAGTGGGTATGAAGTGATATCTCATTGTGGTTTTGGTTTGCATTTCCCTCATGACTAATGAGCATATTTTCTTGTTTGTTGTCCATTTGCATATATTCTTTTAGAAAATTCTACTCAAATATTTTGCCCATTTTTTAGTTGAGTTGTCTGTTTTTTTGTTGTTGAATTATAGGAGTTCTTTATATATTCTCGATACTAACCCCTTACCAGATACATGATTTGCAAATATTATCTCCCATTCTGTGGGTTGTCATTTGACTCTGTTGGTAATTTCCTTTGATGCACAAAAGTTTTTAATTTTGATGTAGTCCAATTTATCTATGTTGTTGTTATTGTTGTTACTTGTGCTTTGGTGTCGTATCTAAGAAATCATTGCCAAATCCATGTCATGAAGCTTGCCCCTGTTATCTTCTAACGTTTTTATAGTTTTAGCCCTTATATTTAGATCTCTAGACTTAACATTCGAACTCAAGTCATTCTGTTTCTTAATTTCCAGAGTGTGCCTATTTACATTTTTGTTCTCATTCTCTTCTCTGTGCTTAGAATTCCTCTTCCCCTATTTCCACGTATTCAGAATATTCCGATCTTTCAAGGTCTGTTCCAACTGCTACCTGTTTTATGAAGTCTTCCTATGGCTCACCCTCTGAAGAGAATCTCTTCTGATCTTCCATTAGTGCTTTAGTTTCACTTTTCTTGTAGGATTTACATATAATAATACCTTGTTTTATAGCTTACATCTAATCCCCTGTGAGACATTTAGATGAGATAGTGTATTTTTCATATTTGTTTCTATATAATATTCTGCAAATTATTTCATCTGTTTATTAGCAAATATATATTGAATAAATGGATGTCTTAGTATTTCTCGATATGGTCCCTTTTGTCTACTCAGCTCTTGTGGAAAGCATGGGAGAAAATGAGACAGGGAAAGAAGACATCACAAAGTCCTCGCTAGGTGGTGCAAGAGTGTAGGCTTACCTCTGCTTCAAAACTTACCTCTTTAGGAAATTTTCCTTGTAGTTTGTGTGACTTGCTTTGACTACATAACTCTTAGCATTGTGGTATACATTTTGTGTTACATTTATTTCATAGTTTATTGCTTGTAAACGTGATGATAGGTCTTTTAAAATAAATGTTTTATCTCTCTAACTAGGTTAGATTGGTTAATTCTCCAAATAGATGGTAGCTATGGACAGCCAAAACTGTTGCTTTTTCCTCTTTTAAGTCAATTTTGAAAATACACTAAAAATATGTGAATATCTTATTAGAAAGTCAGACGTTACAGATAAGTCTAAAGTCACCCTTGATCCAACCCAGTTCCTATCCCACTGCCTTCTTACCCTACTCAGAGTTAATCACTGTTATCAGTTTTCTGTGAGCCCTCCCAGATCTTTTTCATGCATTTACTTACATGTTACTATATTATGTATAGAACTTCATATGTAACACATATATGTATAAATTATATTCATATATAATTATTTCTCCTCTATTTTTCACAGCTGCCTGTGGTCTGAGAGACCAGAAGGAGAAGTGAAAGTCAAGCATATGAAAATACTATGTGTCCAGCTTATAAAATTCCATTCCATATCTGTTCTGCCTATAGTCTCCAGGTATCATTGGACAGGCCATGGCTCCACGGTCGCGGCAACGAAGGCACAAGAAACTCCCCTCATCTGTGGCTCCTGTGCCTGTGACCCCACCCACAGTTGTGACCCCTGTGCCTCTGACCCCCTCAAAACCTGGCCCTAGCATTGATGCACTTGGCTTCGTATCCTTGGAGAACAATGTTCCTGGCCTATCCCAGCTGATCCTTCAAAAGCTGAACATGAAAAGCTATGAAGAATACAAGTGAGTGACCAGCTTTATGGAAGAGGGATATATTGTATTTGGTAGAAGTGATTTCAGAAGGTAGAAAGGGAATATAATTTGGGCAATATGGGATATTTGCAGTGAGGGATTTTCATATCCTAACTTTTGCCAGTTTTATTACTATAGAAATAATTGGCTTAAGTGAGAAATGGTATCGGTAGGAGACATAGGAGTAGGTGGTATAGGAAGTAAGATGGGGGACGTGAGAGATTTTGGAAATATTCTTTTCCTTATTGCCTTTTCTTCTGCCTGCTGTTTCTGCAGGCTGGTGGTAGATGGGGGTATCCCTGTATCAGGCTTTGGATTTCGATGTCCTCAAGAAATGTTCCAGAGGATGGAGGACACATTCCGATTCTGTGCTCACTGTAGAGCACTCCCTAGTGGCCTTTCAGACTCCAAGGTCCTCCGGCACTGCAAAAGGTGACTCGTGGGGTGGGTAATGGGGAGACATTCAGAAATGACCCTGTACTAAGACCTCATTCCAAAAGGAAAGGTCTGAAAGGTTTCTAATAAACTTAAGGCTCTTTCCTCATTTTGTATCATCCGGACTACAGAGTGATCATAACAGGGTTCTAATCCTGCTTATTTTTGGTGTCACAGGGAAGTGAGACAAGAGACCACAATACAATCCTCTGTGTCTCCCTTTTCTTGAGTACTCAAAGAGTCAGACCACATCTGCTTTAAGAAGGTTGGGGTTGAACTATACCTGTGATGACAGGGCAGCTACAAACTCCTGGTGTTTTGTTTTGTTTTAAAAGAGATATAAAAAGTGAGATGTTCCAGATAGATAGAGATTGTCACTCTGTCACTTTGTCTGGGAGAATAATTATATTTCCAACTATCTCCTGCCTCTTCTGCCAAATGCAGTATCCAAATTTGTTGTATCATTCCTTTCCCTACCTTCCTGACCCATTCACTGATCTTTCTTCCTAGGTATAGGAATATCAGTCCCTTTCCCAGACACCCCCAATCACCTTTATGTATACAACATCTATTCCTGTGACTCATTCTCTCAGGTGCAGAAATGTCTATTACTGTGGTCCAGAGTGCCAGAAGTCAGATTGGCCAGCACACAGGAGGGTTTGTCAAGAGCTTCGTCTTGTGGCTGTGGACCGTCTCATGGAATGGCTTCTGGTCACAGGTGGAGTGGTAGTATTGGGAAACTTTGCTATAATGGTCATAGTTGGTTGTACTTGAAGGAATATATGAAAATGTATTGTCATGAAAAAAGAGGAACCTGGGGCAAGGAATGGGGCACTCCTGGTCACTGGTTGGCAGAGTGAACATAGAGGGAATATAGATCATTAGTGAGAAGGGAATTTTGAAGCCAGGAAAGGATTACATTACCTTTTTTTTTTTTTTTTCCTGATAGATATAGGGGATACAAGTGTTTTTCATTACATGGATAAATTATATAATGCTGAAGTCAGAGCTTTCAGTGTACCCATCACCAGAAGAGTGTACATTGTACTCAATAGGCAGATTTTTATTCCTCATGCCCCTCTCACCCTCTACCCTTTTTAGTTTTCAATGTCTATTACATCACTTTATGACCATATATACCCCTTGTTTAGCTTCCACTTATAAGAGAGAACATGTGGTATTTGTTTTTCCATTCCTGAGATAATTCACATAGAATAATGGTCTATAGTTCCATCCAACTTGCTGCAAAAGACATTATTTCATTCCTTTTTATGGCTGAGTAGTACTCCATGGTGTATATTAATATATACACTACATTTTCTTTATCCACTCCTCAGTTGGTAGGCACTTAGGTTCATTCTGTATCTTTGCAATTGTGAATTGTACTACAATAAACATTTGGGTGTAGGTATCATTTTTATAAAATGACTTCCTTAGATACCCAGTAGTGGGATTGCTAGATCAAATGGTAGGTTTACTTTGAGTTCTTTGAGAAATCTCCATACTGTTTTCCATAGAGGTTGTACTAGTTTACATTCCCACCAACAATGTATAAGCATTTCCTTTTTACTGCATCCATGCCAACATCTGTTTTTTGACTTTTTAATAATGGCCATTCTGACGGGTAAGGTGGTATCTCATTGTGATTTTAATTTGCATTTCCCTGATGATTAAGATTAGGTTACTTCTTATTCCTTCTTTCCTGCAGGTGATTTTGTCCTACCCTCAGGACCTTGGCCATGGCCAGGTGAAGTCGTACAAGACTGGGACACCTGGTTTTCTATGAAAGGGTCACAGCTAGATGCTACACTGGATGCTGTGCTAGGTAGTCATGCCATGACCACCCTATGGGCCAGTGTAGGACGGCCAAGGCCAGACCCAGATACCCTGCAGGGATCTTTGAAGCGGCTACTGACAGATGCCCTATCAAGGCCCTTGACAGTGGGCCTAGGGCTTAGGGCCTTCGGGATAGATGTTAGGAAGACTGGGGGAAGCGCAGTACATGTGATCGGTGCTTCCCATGTGGAGACATTTCTTGCTCGCCCTGGGGACTATGATGAGCTTGGCTACATGTTTCCTGGACACCTTGGACTCCGTGTGATCATGGTGGGTGTAGACGTGGCTACTGGCTTTTCACAGAGCACCTCAACTTCACCCCTGGAACCTGGCACAGTTCAGCTTAGTGGCCACAGGGACCTCTATCATGACTTCTGGGAGCAGCAGGTAGAGACTGGGCAGATAGCCCGTCCAGATTTGGCAGTGGCATTCCATCCAGGTAAGTCATTGGTTCAGAGGAATACTGTTTGGCTCCCCCTGAGAATTTTCCATCCTGAATCTTGCATCTTTTATCTTTGGGACCCCATTCATGTGGTCTCCTTAAACACAATATGATGACAATCTTGGTTGATAATTTGCCATATATACTACACCTGGGTTCAGAATTTTCTACTGAAGGCTGGGTGTGGTGGCTCATGCCTGTAATCCCAGCACTTTGGGAGGCCAAGGTAGGAGGATCACTTGAGGTCAGGAGTTCAAGATTAGCCTGGGCAACATAGTGAGACCCTGTCTCTACTCTCTACAAAAAATTTGAAAAATAAGTTAGCCGGCATGGTGGCATCCATCTGTAGTTGTAGCTACTCAAGAGGCTGAGGAAAGAGGATCCCTTGAGCCCAAGAATTCCAAGTTGCAGTGAGCTATGATCACCCCACTGTACTCCAGCCTGGGCAACAGAGCAGGACTCTGCTTTAAAAAAAAACAAAAACCCAAAAACAAAAGAAGAAACTGGGGTGGACGATCATGAGTATTGGGGATGAGCAAAGTGAAGGATGGTGTGTACACAATCAAAGAAATATCTTGCTCTTACAGTCTACTTTAGTCTTTCCCCTCCCTTTTCTTTTTTTTTGTTTTTTTTTTGAGACAGAGTCTCACTGTGTTGCCCGGGCTAGAGTGCCGTGGCGTCAGCCTAGCTCACAGCGACCTCAAACTCCTGGGCTCAAGC